ACTTTAACAATCAATCTCTTCCAGAACGAGCCGCCATCGAGCACGCCTTGCAATCCGGCGGAAGCCATCAGCAACAGATCACCACTGATGATGTCAAGAACATGAAATCCATCCTCTTCGCATTGCCTCATTTTGGAGCAAAACTCAAAGAACTCTTTGAGCAAACTGTGCGCGGATATTCGATTAATCAACAACAAAGCGTGCAAAAGTTTGCCCCACCAACGTACACTGCAGCCTCTTCTTCTGGTGGTGGAAAGAAGTGGGTTAAGTTGAATATTTAGATAAAGACAAAGATATTGTTGCTAGTGTTAGTCTAATATTTTTCCCTTGTTCCGTATCGGGAGCAAAGATTTTGATCTTTGACTTGGCAAGACCTCACTATTTGATCATTTTCAGACGTGGTCTCATCGACAAGCTTCGCCGCATCTTCCCCAAATGAGAGAACAAGAAAGAGAGATTTTTGAAGAGAAGCAGACCTTGCAACAGAAATTCCAACTCGCCTATCTTTCTATTTAATTTAATATCTTTCATCTTCATAAAATTTTTCTCGTCTAAAGTCTTTTTGATCTTTGCTACAAAATTTTCCATCCCCTGTTTACAAATTGACAACACAATTTCTTCGTAGTTTTGTAATTTTTCAAAGAATTTTAAAATAAATTTTGATATCGATATTGCATGAGTAAAATGGGTAAGAATACGCTAAGTTAGTTGTAAGTAAAAAAAAAATTGCAAATCTTTGAGCATATTATTGGAGTGTAAGGTCAAACCTACTCAAATGAGCTCAAAAAAAAAAATAAAAGATATGAAAAGTAGATAAATTGTATAAAAATTAGATGCACGGCTACGGTAGCTTTAGAAAGTTTACACATTTTAGAGGATTCCAGTAAAACGACGACACTCACTTGTGTAGCTTTTCTCCACAAACTCTTGTTTAGAGTGTTCAAGTAGAGTTTCGCTTGCTCTTCTTCAGTCAACGATCCTTCACTTTCTTCAGAGAACTCATTTGCTGATGTTGGTACATTTAACGGCACGGATGTATTGTTTTGATGTGCTTGTTAAGAGGTGAGATACATTCCATACATTTGCAGCATCATCATTTGCCATTGTGGATCAGTTGGGTTGAAAGCCATTGGTGGTTGATTTGGTTGAAGATTTCCTGAAAATTTATCTTAGCTTCACACTTTCCAATATTTAGCTTTAACTTCTTGCTTGTTCAAGCAAAGGCTCCCAGTCTCACCGTCAGCATTTTTCGCTATTTTCAAACTTTCGTTTTCGTTGTTTTCCTTTTCGCATTTCGAAACAGGGCCTAGCTCATTCGATAGGAAATCGAATGGGGATTCCGAATCTGTAATCTTTCTCTCGGAATAGCTCGCAAACGTAAACGAAAGTTTTTGTTACACACTCTTGAATCGAGTTTGTGCACCATCTTTCAGCGGCAGTCGTGGTGTAGTGGATGATGTGATGGTCGACGGAATTAATCGAGTTTTTGTGGTGTGTTTGAATCCCCACGTTTTTTGCTTTTTATTTTTCAGAATGATATTTTTGATTTTCGAAAGAAATTATTTATTTCATTCAGTTATTTCATTTAGGTGCACTATTTGAAAGGGTTGATATGTGCACCAGCAGGGTGATCACGCAGCGGTGACAGATAAGGTTATTTTATAAAATATCTGTCTAATTGAATGTTTAACAGGGTTCTTGAACAGCTGATGGAACATTTTATTCGTGCCAGGCAGACTTTGCTCAACTGTTCGTCATCGAAATCCAAATAAGTGACAGAGTTTACTAGTGTGAATCAATTTAGAAAGAACACCTCTTCTTGCCGTGTGTTTTTGCTCTGTTAAGCGGAAAGTCGACTCAGCGCTATGAAGCTTCAATTTTTCTCGATAATCGATGCCCTATTTACTTGAAACTTGGGTACATTTTTACAATAGATCGGATAATGCTTCATCCTAAACATGTCAGACATACTAGATAAACAGAAATGCCCATGTTTACTCTATCCATAACCCCGCAAAGCCACACTTTATTGGTGTAGATTCCAAATAAATTTGTTCGTTTTTTCTTTGTTGATAAGCTTAGTGAATCCAAAACACGGGAGTGGCTTCAAAATCTTTATATACAATGGCTATTAGCAGAATAAACATGAGTAAACGATAAATCAAAAACCGATTTACAAAGAAATACACAGTAAAAACACTGACAACTGAGTTTGTTGTGAACTTAAAAGAAAAAGAGATTGCGTGTTGGATTTGTTTCTCGAAGCGATCCAGTATCCAAAGTTTAACATCCTGCTAAAACGATTTTTTTGTTTTTTGCCATAAAATTTTTTGTAGTTTCGATGTTCTAGCTCTCACTTAGTGACTTCTGATACTTTTAGCTTTCGTGAAATAGCTTACAGTTAGACCCTAGGTAGTTTATTAACAGTTTACAAAAAGCTAGAAGCTAAAAAAAGTTCTACGGTTGCTGGTTGTCGGTTATTGTTTAACAAAAGTTATCAATGCCAATTTCCCATTCCAACTTACAACAGGACGCATTAGCGACAGCTTCGAGGGCACATTTTCCGGCACTATCGCGACAATAGTTGGGCGCACATTGGCACACGCCATGTCCTGGTGACATGCACAAATCAGAGCACACCTAAAGGAGAAACTTCTTTCCAGCCAAAAGCTACCTCTTAGCGACAATAAGATTGAAATATGAAATTTTGTTCGAAACAGAGCAAATACTCAGCCCTAGCCGTCCAAAAGTTGATTAAACTTTATCTATTCCCATTTTGAGATTTGAGAGGAACACAGTCTAATGCTCACCCCCATTCCCTTGCAGCATGTTGCCTCGCAAACGACTCCACAACCGTTGCAGACTTCGCCGATGGGACATGACACCACCGGACAGTGCGGCGGCGGTACGGTGGGGTCGGTGATGATTGGGCCGCCCGGATTGATTACCGCTAAAATCTGTGCTGGTGTCGACAGCCTGGTTGGCTTTATTGCTAACTTATTGTCGGTAGGTAACTACACTTCCCAAAACCACTCTTATTTTTTTAAACTTGCAAAATCCAAACGCACCGCTTGTCACACCGATGCAAGCAAGCTGAAGAGTCGACAAAAAACCCTGAAGTCATTTTTAAACGAATGTTAAACTGAGATTTGTTGCGGGCTCCTTTCGAAATAGGTACTTACTGTGCTGAATAAAGAATACAGCACTGCGGCTGCAATTTACTAATAGTTTAAAATAAAAAACGTGAAGCCACTACGGAACAGTACAAATTCCACTTAATTCTTGTCTTGCCTGAATAGCTTTTCTTTTCCGAATATGATTGTATTGTTAAAATGGGTTCCGGGGGGTGGGACAAATGCGACCTTTTTTGCGGACCCGGACATTTGCGCACCTTTTTTTGCGCACTTAGCCCGTTAGCGCACCTTTTTTCGCGTTTTAAAAAAGCTCTAAAAGCTAATATTAACCAATTTCTATTCCAAAAGTTGTTTTTCTAGGTAATTTTAGGGCGTAGAATCGAAATTTTGGCATATCAGAGCTTGTGGAAGCGAACGGACGGAGTTATACAAAGAGAAAAATCAACAATTTTCTGTAATTTGACCTAGCCGTTTTGTCTTTCAAATTGGTTCCACAAGCTCTGATATGCCAAAATTTCGATTCTACACCCTCAAATTACCTAGAAAAACAACTTTTGGAATAGAAATTGGTTAATATTAGCTTTTTAGAGCTTTTTTAAAACGCGAAAAAAGGTGCGCAAAAAAGGTCGCATTTGTCCCACTCCCGGTTCCGGCTCTTTTTTAGTCAGTATTCAAGTTTATTGCTTTCGATTTTGTTTGTGAATGAGTCATCGTTCAATCTGAATCTTTTCACATTTCGCTCTCGTTATTTGAATTCATGCAAGTAGCCCGTTGGATTAAAGTCAAATACAGATAAAAGATAAATCGTGGTTTGTTAAACGAAGTTTGTACAATAAAGTGCAGAGTTTTGATCCAAATACGCATAAACTCGTGTTAGAATATTAAGAACTTTTTTTGGTATACTTACCATTTTTCTGAATTTCGATCTGAATAGAAAATTATCTGAGACACTCGAAATTTAACGCTGCAAAATCAGCCTTTTATAGAGATTTGACATGCAAATATTTACATGTTCCACTGATTTTGTTATTCATTTGCCCAATGTTCAACACCAGCCCTATCTAGAACACAAAAGAAAATCTTTCACATTTGTGAAATCCACGAATTTTCCTCCACTTTCCTCCACTGCCCAACTTGTTTTTATTACTGAATCTAAAAATGGAACCTGCCTAGCTAATAATAGTAAACCGAAGCAAAACCTCGACATAATCTTTATATAGATTTTGCTTACTAGACATACAAGCCAAGAAAAATCTTTCTAATAGAACTCGTTTCAAAACTTTTTTGAAAACTCGATCAGTTGGATCAGTTATGTAGATTCAGTTAAAAAAAAATATTAAATGCGTTAATATTTTCTATAACATCATCGATAAAGGAATCTCTAAAGTTGAGTTGCGGCTCGTTATTTTTTTGACCAGCCATTTTTGAGTGTACATAAAAAATTATCTATTGATGCTATGGTCATGAAATCTTGAACATAGACAGAAAACGATGTGAATTTTCATTTAAAAAAAGAAACTAATCGTTTTGATTTACAAATAACAGAAATATGAGCCTAGGAAAATAAGAACGGGTTATTTCTGGTCGCCCTGTACATATCCTAATATAATAATAAAATGTATTCTGCTCTTTGTTTTCTCGTATTAACCTTTCTTGCTCCAGCAATTCTCATTGCAGGAACTAATCAAAAAGACAAAATAGTGAACGTATCATGTTTCGCAATTTTAATTTTGATTTTGTTTCGCATTTGTGTTTACAGAAAGTCTTCAAAAAGTTTGGAAAAAAACACAAGGTTTGAAACGTAAACAGAATAAAGTCCACTGGACACCTCACACAAAAGCAAATCATAAAATCCATAAATTAATCATGATCACAATCGTTATTTGTGTTTTAATCGGAGTTAATAGTAAGTTTTTTTTGATTAGGTTGTAAATTGGAATGATTGCTACACATAAAGTTTGGAATTGCTCTGGTTTTCAGGCCAACAACAAGTCAAACAAGCTAAAACTAAAACAAGGCTTAGAAAAGTGATTTGCAAATTCTCAAACAATTCTCGGCATTCTACAACAAGGCACATTTTATTTCATTTGAAATGAAATGTGAGTTGTTGTAATTTCATTTGATCACTTAGAAATCCGAAGTGAAGCTAAAAAACCAATAAATTAAACGTAAAAACTTAATAAAAACTAGGTAATCGTAAAGCATTGCCATTTAAATTTGTCTAGACATGGCGTTTTGAGTATTTTTTGTAAATCAATGGTTAAATCAAATTGGCGCTCAGAAAAGAGCATTATCTTTTCAGCAGCCCTACAATCGTCCCACGTGTCTCAGGAGGACATTTGTCGGTGGGTTTAACGTTAGCTGAACCAAACTTGTAAATGTTAAGAGATTTTAGGGAATATTTTTGTGATTAAGAAAACTATTTCGACCTTTCACCTTTAAACAGCTTTTTTTGACTGATCTCGATTTACCTGTGCCATTAGTCTTGCAAAAAACAGGTCAAAGTAAAGCCAATGGCTTATTTGAGGCGATTTTACCTTTCAACAACGTTAACGTAGAGTTTTTTTCGACTTTTTTTCTCCACCGAATAGTTTCTGACACAAAATTTTACAGCGAACTCAACACGAGAAATACGACGAGTGGCCCTCCGGAACTCAGCAAAGCCATCTCCTTCGCTAAAACTCTTTTTTGCAATGAATTTGAAGCTGAGAACTGTAAAGAGTCCCTAATTTGAACAAAAAAACAAAAAAAACCAACAACTCTAACAAAAAAGCAATTTAGTCAACACCTATCTGGTTTGCTCGAAGGAGAAAACTTCCTCAATCAACGCGCACTGTAAAACCGAGGCCGCCTTGTCGTCGACGGATTGTCCGTTAGTGGTTTTGATCTTTACCAAGTCTGTAGCAACTTTTGCAAATTGCAAAAAGCAAAAGAGAAAAACAACGTTTCAGGGCAACAAAATTAGCCTTTGACTTTCTCACAAGGGAAAGTGACAAGGCTGAGGTGGCCAAATGGCAGGAGCCACATACCATACGACGCAGAATTTTGCGCTGATTCCAATGCTGCTATCCGTTTTTGCAAAATCACCATGTTATTGCAAAAATGCAATAACATGTTGAAAGAAGCGTTAGATAGGGACTGATTTTTGACCTCTAATTTGACCTCAAACTTGCTTTCCTTGCGTTTCCAAATCATTTTGCCAAGACGGATAGCAGCATTGAAATCAGTGTAAAATTCTGCGTCGTAAGGTATATGGCTCATGTCATTTGGCCACCTCAGCCTTGTGAACTTCTCTTTGTTAGTTGACAAAACTGAAGAACCTGCAAACTTTGGGGTATTTCGAAGAGGATAGTTTTGTCTTTCCCCTCAATCTCTGGCAACAGATTTTTATACATTTGCTTACAACACTTTTTTTACAGTATTATAGGAGAAAAGCCGAGGCGATGGACTGTACATTGAAGCAGTCGATCGAAGTTTGTCAAGCCGGTCAAAACGAACTCATCAAGATGGCACTTCTCGGCGAGATTGGGGTTGGATTTCAAAGTTTTTGTACGATAAATTCTTAATTTCTTAGATGAGTTTATTAATTTCAATGTTTGTTTAAAACTTTTTGTAGTGTTTGTTTTAGATCCTCATCGGTCCCGGCAAATGCAAGAAGGAACTAATCGAGGCTATGCGAAAGCTGCAAAAAAAGTTGTGATTGTGAGTAAAGGGATTTTGGATGGTTTTTTATGCTGAATAAATCTCTAAAAACAAGAGTTATAGGTTTTCTTTTGAGATGATAGCACAAGATTAGTTTTAATTTAATTAAGATAATGCTTGGCTTTAACATCAAAAAGCGCGAACTCCAAAAAAAAACATTGCGAAATGTGGGAGCTGGTCAAAACTGTACAAACAGCGCCACAGCAAAAATAGCCCCTCTGCGGTTAAGTTTCTATGCATTTCTTATTCTTATTGGATACAGAATAAGATTATCTACATTTTGCATACTTTTAGACCACTTAAAACAGAATTCGTGTCGAGAAAAGCTCAGTTAACCTCTTTTTACGCCCTTTTTTGTTTTTTTTTGGTATTTTCTCATTTCAGATTTGTTCTAAACGGTTCAAAAAAATGCAGCAGATAGCTAACTTTTTTTCTACATCCAATGAAAATAAAGAAACAGGAATAAACTTAACCGCAAACGCATTGTTTTGGCCGGCGCTTTTTGTATACGATGCTTTTTTGAGCAGCTCCTCGAAATGTGCATTTCAGACCACAAAAACAACTATTCTGTTTACGCTTTTCGACGAAAGCACTCTGAAAACACTAGATTATTTCTCTCTCTTTTCCAATTTCATCACGCCATGTTTTTATCGATTCCTGAATAGACAAACACTCTTTTGAGGCAAAACCCCTACGCATTCTGCTCCCACTTTTGTCGTTTTTCTCAACGTTTTGTTCATCGTTTTGTTTTTATCAATGTTAACCATAATTAGCTTATCTTATGTAAATTATGTCCTTCCAGATTAAATCTTTCTTTGCAATAAAAAGTTAAGCCTTTCCCTTTCTCCTTTCCCCTTTCCAATCTCTGACATTTCTAGCAAAATGCCCTATGCCGTGCTAACCGCCTATCGAATCTCTCCAAATCTACCAAATCTTCTCTATAATTCAAATTTACACTCGTATGTGACAATCGAAGATCCGAAAAGACTCCTCATCGGGCATCCACTTGATTTGAATTTCGAATTTTTACAATCGGGCAAAATGGGCGAGCTCTCGACGGAGGCCCTACTCGGCTTGAACACGATTAACTCGGCCACACCGTGGGTTTCGTTTGAAAAAGGGAAAAGGCTATTTTCTAGCCGGTTTTGTATATCTAAATGTTTTCTTAGATAAATGATTCTAAAATAAGATTGGATACTTCTGCATAAACTAGAAACAAAACTACACAAAAACTAGCTACTCTGACTCTGAAACCCTGATTCTTTCAGTGGTTGAATGATAAAGAACTTGGTTATTTGAAATGGTTTTAATTTTTTCTTCAGTGATTGGTCGAGCGAGCAGGTCTCTCCGGTTTTGATTCTGAATCAAGTCGAGGAACAGGGATGGAACGTTGTGGGAATGTCGTGTGATGCCGAAGGAAAAATCACGAAATGGACACTCCACAAGAAACTATAGTTCATTGCTTGTTTCATTTTGTCAATTCACACATAAAAGGTCATATCCACTCAATGATGTGCAATTTCTTCAAAATTTACTTGGCTTTTGATCTCCTTTCCATTTTCGGTACCATTTCTGTACGAAAATTTGTGTCGTCTTTTTTCTAACTCCAAGGGAGATTTATTGTTGGTATCTCTGATAGGTTGGCTGTGTTTAGAGTGTGGCTCAATTCAATAAAATCTGAGCTTTTGATTAATATTTATGAGCTAAACAAGAAGAAAAAGCAAAAACAGTGACACAAGGATTCTTTCATTAGAGGTAAAATCGGCAAGGTTGTCAGAATTGACCGAGAGACACCCAATTGTCGAGATGTTGAGGGTGGCTGTGTCGCGTGTACTGTCAGCCCGACCCGTCCGACGCGCACGTCATGGACACTTGGACGCTCGACCTACTTGGACGTACTTTCGGATACTTGGACTCTCGGTGTACTTGGGCGTACCTGGGCGTACTTAGACGTTCGGCGTGCCGGTCATCACCGGCATGCCGTTTGGCAGCATGCGTCCGGTCATTCTGTTTCATTTGTTCAAAACCAAAGATTCGAACTGGAGAAGGTACACTAGACCTGTCTATCTTAATCCCTGCAAAAGCAAAACGGCTTTTGCGAAACCAAACTTTAACCACTGAAAATGCCTTAAACGTAAACGTAAACACCGGCGTTTATTTTTCGATCTCCTCTAAAAGGGGGCGCTGATTAGATAGTGAATTTTATTGGAGACGCGCGTTTATTTTCTCGACCGTCAAAACTTTAGGGTTGCGTAAGTAAAAGCTCATCTTTATACCTCATCTGTATCTCATCTTTATCTTATCTTTACTGGTATAAATCTCATCTTTATACCAGTTTGGGCTTGTTTATATCCTAATGCTAAACCCTAGAACTAAAAAACTTTGTTAAGATGTTGACAAACTCGATCTACATCATATCGAGCGTTTTTTTGTCAATGATCTGATGCCTCTAATGATTAGAGCCTTTTTCGGGCAAAATACACTCTGAGCATTTTATGAGTTAAGCTCTCTCGTCAACGATTTCCTTTTTTTGCTTTGTGATCACGTGAGTTTTTAAAGTAAAATATACTCAAATTTCTGGTTTTTTGTGCTTTGTAGAGTAAAGTACGTTTTGTTTAGCACGCTCAGCCTTTATAAACCCAAAGAAACTTCGTCAAGATCAAGTGTCATTGTATCGTCGATTTCATCAACAAAACTTTGATCTCCATAAAAAGCTAGTATTTATTTAGTTGCCGGCAAAGTTTCAAAAAAATTATAGCATTCATTGAAGGTTTTTCACTGGGGAGGATTAAAAATAAGCCAGAAAAGTGATTGTTTTGATTAAAATTGAGCTAAAAACATGATGGCTCTGTTCAGGAAGTGAAAGGAGGAGTAAACATGGTTCCAAATCTGAATCTGAAACAAAAGAAATCGATTAGAATCCTACTTGAAGGACCTTTAATCGGACTCTATTCAATCAAAATTGGATCCGAAACTATGTTTAAAAGAAATCACTTCAAAGCATTTAGTAAAAGATAAAGGATATATGTAATATCATACAAAGAATATCATTGATACACACCTGCACATAATCAAAAGTCAGCTGCCAGAAAGTGATGAAAAGCATTGGAAAGCATCGTATTTAAAATAATTTGAAGAGATTTGAAGCAAGCGACCGCGAACAACATTTGTCGTTAGATCCATGTCCGAATAAAGAATTGAATGAACAGGACAAAGGCTAAATATGGTTGCTTAAAGCGAATCGAATAGCAAAAGCTACTTAAGATCAATAAAAAGATATTCACACGTTAACTTCTTTGTTTCTTCTTACCTAAGCCACATTCGCAATTCTTAGCGGTCGACGTGTACAGCATTTGTCGCATAGACAAACAGTAAATCCGCAACAGCAGAGCGAAACAATAATTGCAATAAGGAGCAGAGATGAGGCTACAATTATAACCACAAACCAGGCAACATTGTCTTCTATCCAAGACATTTCGAATTGTGATTAGGTATAGGTTGTCGGGGTATAGGTGGTAGTGAGTTCTGGTCGAGAAAAAAGTTTAATGGAGATGGCGCTGATATTTGACAGTTTGAAGTCAAATGCTTTAGAGACAGACGATGTTTTGGTTGTTTTCGGATTTTGAAATATCACAATTCCAAAGCCTGAATTCGAAAGAATGCACCAGTTTAGTCCTCTCGGATGCTCTCTCGTGCTAGCGGAAAGTCTCCAAGCAACAAGGCAACACAGATGACTCAACAAACAAATAAAGACACCAAAACAGCTGGAAATAGCCAAAAGCCAAATAGCGAAAAGAATCGTTCTCTAAACCTTAACAAGTCCTCTAAACCTTAACACATTGAAGGCCGCGCATCTTTTGCGAAACGGCCGATTAACCAAACCAGGGATCAAAATAAATAACCAAATCCCAGAAATTTGCACATTAGGGCTTAAAAGGCTCTAAAATCCGAATTTGGCTTTAAATTTAGGCCAACAAGCACCATATAGTTGTTTATTTAACAGTTTTAATTATTTTATTTTATTTTACACACTAATTTCTAGTAGTTAACTTCTCGACAAATGCATGCTTAATGTTCTCGAGTCAGAATTTCCTTTAGAATTGTTTTGAGCCTTCAAAAATTATTGGTTACCTTAAAAAAATGCAATTTCTTGAAGCCGCTTTAATTACCCAAGTCCTGACTCGATATCAGCGACTGTGTGCCAGATGCCGTTTTTTCCTACGAGCCACACGAAAAGAACGAATAAAATTTCCTTTACAAAGTGCTTTGTTTTAGAAAAACAAGTAATTTTTCAAATTTCTTTGATTTCTAACACTTGAGGTTTGTAGCTACTCTACTAAAGTATCTGAAACTATTAGAAAATAATTTTGGTAAAACGTTCTCGCTCCGGGGGAGTCGAACCAACAACCCCCTATTAAAGGCTCAGATAGGCCTCGCACGTCTTAGACCATTCGGCCATGGAATCTGAGGTAACGCCTGGTTTTTCCGCTTTTTGCGAAAAATCGCGCAACTTCCATAAGTTTACAACAACTTGCTAGATAAGTTCTTATTCGCAAATTTTAATTTTATGTTTATTTTGGTTAACAAATTTGTACAAATATAGTAGCTCAAACGGTTTTTGAATCTAGCAAGTTGTTGCAAACTTATGAATTTTAAGGAAACATTAGGCAAAAGTCGACTTTTTAACACATCCTCTCTCACTTCTCAAAAAAATTTGAATCAGATCGGGATGAAATTTTGGCGTATAATCAACAAAACTTCAATTGTTATTAGAAAAAAAGTTGAGAAAAAGTTATGGTTTAGTTTTTTTCAAAAGTTCGTCTGAAGATGTCGCCATTTCATACTCCCCAATCCAATCATTTGTGGACATTGGTCAGAGTGGGAGAAAAGCTTTATCGTTTGTGTTTGACCAGAAGTTATCGTTGTTAAGTCAAATTTGATTTGATTTGAGATGATTTGGGAGTTTCAGAGACCTACTTAGTGGCTGTGTCTTCT